AAGTTTTTCAATTTTTTTAGTAATATTTATGACTATAAAAACACATTAATGATCATAAAGAACAAATGGATAGCTGAAAAAGTAAATATATGAAACCAGTCTAAATTTATGCTAAAATTTTTATGTAATCCAATATCCTTTAAATATTCATAAAAAAAATGAGATTGTGTTAAAAATAATTATTGACTCCGCCATTATCATTTAGTAATATTCATAAATATTCTTCAAAGGTCTAGTGAGATAAAATATAAATAAAATAAAGTCTAAATTGAAACTATGATCATTGTTTGAAGTTTACCTTCTGTTTACATAAAAACAATTATACATACGAAAACAAACTTTTTAAATAATAAAATACTATTGTATTATACAATCCAAGCATACTTAGTATTTAAGCTTCTTCAATTAAAGCTTCATATTTTGTTTTAATCTTTAATGTATTTAATTTGAAATCTTTAGAATAAATTAAAAATGTATATAGAAATACTTAAATAAGAAGAAAAAACTATTAAAGAAGCATATGAAGTTATTAATTAACTTAAATTATTACTCTAAAAATAAGAAAGCTATATGGTCATTGCAAAAGCAATATCGTATGTATTAGATAAGAAAATTCTTAAGATAATATTATAATAGAACTATTTAGATTATTCCATAAACTTTTTTCTCATAAAAAAGCAAATCTTAGCTATAGTAAGGTTCATTTTGAAAGATTCATTCGATATAAATATATATGTGAATATTTAATAGACAGGTAACTTGTATATGCAGATATTGAACAAAATAAAAAGTAATTAAAGTTATCAAGAAAATTAACACTAATATCATCATCATTATTTGAAATTTCATTATTCTCTCCTTATTAAAAGAACATTTAATTATTTATCTATTCCATAAGCTTAAATTAATGGATTGATTGTAATAATTTTAAATAATTCAAAATAAATACCAAGATTTGGAGGAAATTGAATATTTATATATTTAACATACTATAAATACTATAATTGATCCATCAAATTCCAAAATAGTTCTGAAGAACTTTTCATTAAACAAAGTGAAGACAAACTAAAATATAATCACTGCCTAATTAAAAGTTGCAGTATTTTAAGCTACAGTTACCTAAGTTTAACTTATTATTGTAGGTGTAAGTAAATGGAATTATTTCTATTTATTATAAAAGTGACAGATTTTATTCAGAAACAAATGATTCATTCAAAAATTGGTCTATCAACAGGAACATAGATGTAAACCTTTAAGATAATATTTACTTCAGTTATTTCCGATTCCTATCAATTTTTTTACATTTATTGTATTATCTTTTATAATCACAATCTTACATATCTAAAATAGTTGAATTAATTAAATTATATAATTATTCTTCAGAATTTCCTAAATACTTAATTTATTAATCAAGCTTTATTGAAATATCTTAAATATCTGTGGCTTAATTTTGGAGTAATATAATCTCAAATTATGGCAATTTTTAGTATAAACATAATGAATAACTACCCTCTTTATTTTAAAATTAATAATCAGTTTCAATTTAGCAATATATATTATATTCATCCCCGTTTTAAAGATTTCCATCATCACAATTCTCTACTGATTTGACATTATTACCATCCCCACATAAAACTATAAAAGCATTTTAATAAATATATTTTCCTATTTCACATTTTTAACAGATTCCTCCTTAATAACAATCTATACAATATTAATCACATATAAATAAACAATTAAGACAACCATCGTTTTAATTATTATTCATGTCATTATATTATTCATAATCTATTATGATTCCATCCCCAAATAATAGTTTACAATTATGATTATCTAATATCAGTTAATACATTTATTAAATTAACAATCAATACAATTATTTGGACATAAAAATTTACAATTATAACACCATCATTAGAAATCTAATTATTATCTTTCACATTCCTCTGATTTTACTAATAGATTATCACCAAAAATTGAAATGCATTGATTAATATCTATTATTTCGAGCCCTTTTTTGCAATTAAAAACAAAATCCTTAAAAGTAATCATTACAAATTTAATCACAATAAAATTGACAATTATAACATTCATCATAAGGATTATGATTACCATCATCACAATCTTCTCCATCAACTATTATTAAATCACCACATACAGGTAGACATAAGATATTAATTCCATCATCATCGAAACCTGGTTTACATATATATTCATTGTTATATATTTAAAATTTACCTCCAATTATTTTTATTCAGCTCTTACAAAATACATTTTTAAACCCTTCTGTATGATATAATTTTTCTTAATACTTTGCTTCAAATTCACCTAACCTCTTAATCAATATTATTTCATAGCTCAAGCATTCCTTTGAAATTTTTCACCTTAAGTATTTAATAAAGAATATGACTAAATTATTCTGGATAATCATAATTTGAATATTAATCTAATTAATTATAATTGTCATTTCACTTTTCAACTTTGAATACCTTTTTTGATTCTAGCAATACTCTGTTATTTTCTGTTAAAAAATCATCTTTAAAAAATGATATTATATTTACATTATTTAAAACATACAATATTGATAAATATTAAATTTCCCTATAAATTTATACATGAATAAAAAAGAGTATTGAAAAAACAACATAATTTCTGCTTAAATAAATTTACATTAATAATTTTTTATTTATAATGTAAAATATAAATTTGATATGCCTAAGTATAGAAAATAATTACACACCAAGGTTATTAATAAGCATTAAATTAAACAAAAACGAGAACACTATGAATAAAAATTTGATAAGAATTAAATTATTTTAAATACTTTACTTTTAATCATTTTATCTCTTTTAATTTGATATATTTCTGAAAATTATTGCTGCATTGCTACAATTAATAAAATAATCTCCAAAATATTGTTTTGTAATCTATAAATTTGTCATTATTTTGCTAACTCTTATTGCATTTCTTATGGCTATTCTGAAACTTTTTATGTCTTCATTAATTAGTTGTCTTACTAAAAGATTGAATTTAACTTTAACATCTCTAAAATTATGTCTTTTGATTTAAGTTTAGTGGATAATTTTAAATTCTTATCTCAAATATTAAATTCAGTTTAATTTCCTTAAGTAATCCTACATTTTTTATGTATTAAATATTAAATTCTGACAATTCCATTTTAACATTTCTCTTTAGTAATTGAGTTTAAGTTTCAATTCCTTTTTTATAATAATCCAATAAAAGGGTATGATTTAACAGGAAATAATAAAAATTGGCTAAATTAACCATTATTAGAGGATTTTCTGAATAAAATTTCAGTGATTAAAGAACATCTTAAAGGGCTTCATAAAATTAATTCTTTTTTTTATATAAACTCTGTTGTTATAAGCTTTAGGATCAATCAGATTCCAATTCTAAATCTTTATTATAATCTTTTAATACTTTATCTAATTTTCTCTTACTTAAATCTAAACTTTTACTACCTCTATTAATGTATTTTTAGCAGATTTAGGATTCAATTAAAGGTATTTTTATGATCTATAATTGCTTAAATTTTATGCAATTATGTTAGAATGAATTACAATCTAATTGTCTCTTACACTGTAAATTAAATCAATATTAGGCTCTAATTCAATTGCTTTATTATAATTTATCATAGTCCCCATTATATTTCTAAAATCCTAATAGAGAATTCCTAATTAATTTTTAACACTCTATAACCTTTTTTATTATAAGTATAAGCATCATAAGGGCTTAATTCAATAGCCTTGTTTTAATCTAAGAGTGCCTAGTCTTTGTTTTCTAAATTATTACATAAATTTCCTATTCATTTTATAATAGTAAAGATAATACTATTAAATTTTGGATGAAGTAGAATCAATAATGGCTATGTTAATAAACTATCACAGATCATACTAGTAGTGTATATGGATTAAGTATAAATTAACAATAGAATAAAGTGATTTCATGTGGATGTGATGGATAAATATTAATAATAGAACAATCATAATAGGATTCTAAATGGATTGTAATCTAAAAGATAAAGGTTGAAACATATGGTTAAAGAATATGCTTTATAAATGATAATGTATTCATATTTTAACCATATTGTAAAGAATAAATGCATGTTTATGAAATGAATAATATTAATAAATAGTATTTAAAGACAAAAGATATTATTGTTAAAGGTGGTACAATTGATAATTGTTTATTTCCTTAATAGTATATAAAATCAAAATGCCTGGTTGTAAATAGAAATGGAAAGTATGTGAATTTGATAAGGACAAAGGAAAATGGAGAGTTTAAAACTGAATAATCCATTGAATTTGGAAATTATAATTTATTTGGATGTATGAGTGATGATGGGTAGTATTTAATAACTTGGGATTATAGTTCAAATGAAATTCAGATTAGAAAATACAATGAAATATGAATAACACATAAATATTAGATATAATAATTTATAATTATCTGTTTAATTCTTCAGTATTTAATAAAGGTATTGTAATTATTATGTGACAATAGTAAATCTATTCTTTGATAAAGTGAATTTGAAAAATTCATATATATTTTTTAAAGTATTAATTGTTATTAATTAATAAATTATTTGTTTAATTTACTAACACTTACAGTTTTTCATCACTTTTGAAATTTTTTATAAATTGATTTTTACTTATTTCATTTTAATCATCTAATTTTTTGCTTGATTTTTGGATATAAGATCAACAAAACAGAGAATTGAAGATTTTAGGAAGGTAGTAATAATAATTTAGCATACTATAAATTAAGAGATAATGTTACTTTTTTAGTAAAGAAACAAATCTATTTATTAAGTTATAATTGTATAGATTATTTTCGGGTTAATTATGAAAAAGAATATGATAAATATTTAATAGATGTTTTAATGATTCGAAATAAAATAATTGACTTTGATAGGCTCGAATTGATAC